GTATTTCTTCAATATGTATTCATTTTCCTATGAATGAATCTATTTTCTCATTCTTTATGGCTGAGTAATATTCCATTTTATAGAAAAACCACATCTTCTTTATCCAGTTTCCAGAAGATGGGCAAATGGGCTGTTTCCAAGATTTAGCTATTACAAACTGTGCCGCTATAAACATGGGTGCGCATACTTCTGTTTTTTTTTTAATTCAAGTTTCTTGAAATCAGTTCTTGCTACATAGTTCAGACTGGCTTTAAACTTGTCATTATCCTGCCTTAGTCCCCCAAAGTACTGGGATTAGAGGTGTGCCCCACCATGTCTGGCTAGATATTCCCTTTTACTCTGTTGATAATGATGTATTACATTAACTATTTTCATTGTTGACCCAGCCTTGGTCAAGTAGGATAAATCCTACTTGATAATGTATAACCCTTTTCATACATTTCTAGGATTTATAATATTTTGTTAAAGATTTTGTATCTACATTCCTGAGCAGTATTGGTCTGCAGTATTCTTGTAATCTTGGTCTGGTTTTGACAATGAAGTTAGCTTGTTCTCATAGATCTTTTTGGATCAATAAGTTGGTCTCTGGTATTAATTGGGGTAAATTCTCAGTCATTATTATTTCAGTATTTTTGTTCTTTTCCCTCTTTTCTTTCTGGTATTCTATTACACATATGTCATATACAGAAACATTTTGTAGTTACTGCAGTTCTTGGATTTTTTTTTTCCCCAGTGTTTGTGCTCTTCAGTTTTGAAATTTTCCATTGTGATCTCAAACTCAAAAATTCTTCGTTCAACTCTGTCTAGCTACTAATAAGTTTGTTGAAGGTGTCATTTGTTTCATTGTATTTGCTTTCAAGCATTTTTGGTCCTTTCATAGCATTTCCATGTCTCTCTCCCGTCACTGTCCACCTGTTCTAGCATGCGCTCTATTTTATCCATTTTCATTAGCATATTAATCACATGTTCAAAATTCTTGCCCTCTTAGATAACAATCAGAGATTCTCAAAAGAATGGTATTTATTTGGGAATAGAGTAGCACTGCAATGGGAATATGCATGCCAAAATCAACTGTGAGCATATTCAAAGAGATTAGGCAAGCAAAAGGACTTTTATTTTCCCTTCCAAAAATACACCACAAATTGACATCAACAAAGGAGAAGAGAGAGTTTTCAAAGATAAAAATGAAGATTACTAAAATAGTTTAAAACAATAACCCTTGGCCACAAGAATTAATAACAAGTGTGATACAGGTCAAGGTTGAATTGCAAGCAATCTGCAAGACAGATGTCCTTGCAGTAGTATTTTTGTACAGGTTATTGCAGCCTTTACACAAGGCTGTGACTTTGGTGGTCTTTTGTAATAATTATTATCAGGCAATAGTATGTAAAAGTCTTCCTCCATAACCTTGCAGCTTTGTTAGGATTGGCACAAGTGACTGACTTGATGTCGATTCCAGTAACTTTTATATTCCCTACATGGTCATTACGTCTTACTGATATCTGATTCTGATGCTTACTCTATCGCTTTAAACTGTGGTTTTGGCCTTTTGGTATGTATGGTAATCTTTTTTTTATAGCTCCACACCATGTACTTGTTATAAAGAAATTATGTATGTGGACCTTTAGTAATGAGATGGTAAAGTGTGGGGGGGTGTTATAGCCCCAGGACTTGGTCTTCTGTGAGCGAGTCTCTGGACAATGCCTCTGTAAGTGCTTCCCAGTTTTCTCCCCTTTAGATGGGAAAGGATGGTTAAAGGTAACTGCAATTGGGTATTTCCTTTCTCCCAGGTCATTTAGACTCAGGTAAAACCCCTATGGATTAGAATCTGGATAACTAGTTTCTCCAAGAACCGTCTTTTTAAGAAGTGGAACCCTGTGGCACATTACAAAATGGTTCCCGTTACCCTCTCCCTGCCAGGCAATTAGGGGATTTTTCTCCAATATTCACTGTGACAACTTGGTCAAGCTCATGGATGTAAAACTCAGAAAAATGTGGGTGCCCCTTCTCAATGACTTGGCCCCCACAGGAGGTTTTCATCACTCAGATTTGTCCATACTGAGCCTTAAGAACTTCATCATTTACAGTGCAGGTTTTCCTACCCTGACACTGGTTCCTTTTGAGGTTTCTGCTCCTAAGTTGTGATTCCCTGTACTCACCTCTCAGTCTCTTCAATTTTAAGGGCAGCAAGCTTGCTTGTGACCTCATTTCTCTAATGGATTTAAGACTTAATTTTTCAGTTTGTTCAGTTTTTTACTTGTTTGTAGGATGGAGTGGCAACTTCCAAGCTTCTTAAATGCCAAACTGGAAACAAAACATTAAACTGTAATTTTTAGCCAGGTGTGGTGGTACACACCTGTAATCCTAGCACTCTGAGAGGCTGAGGCAAAAGATCACAAGTTTGAGCTCAGTCAGACCCTGTCTCAAAATAAAAAATAAAAAAGGGTTGGGGATGTAGCTCAGTGCAAAGGCCTGGGTTCAATTCCCAGTACTGGGGGAAAAAAAATGTTGTAGTCTTTGAAAGAAAAGAAGTTTAACCATTTCAGTATATCTTGTAGCTTCATACACACAAACAAGAAACATATTTATTAAAAAAAAATATTTATTAATTTTTACGCCTGCTGGGTAGCACAAGACTATTAACACTATAACTCACCGAATGTACAATAAATGTTCACATTTAAATAACAGGATAGCAGGATAGAGTCAACATTTTCAATCAATGGGTCAGCATTAGCATCTCATGAAGTGCTTTTTTAAGTCTTAGATATCTTAAGAGTTTTTGAAAGGATAATTCCAGGTCAGAAAATAATCATGAACATCAAAACAAAAAGTTTTTCCAGAAGAACAGGAATTTTACATGATGAAATGTGTTTTTCTGGACACAAACCAAATAATAAAAAGCCTATATCCAACCCACTCCAAAATATTCACATTGCACTGAGTGAATTCTACAGTGTCAATGTGTATTAGGAGCGGCCATAATATAAACACTGGCTACACGTGTTTCCCAAATTAAGTCTTCAGAGGGATGATGACCTTCCATCTATTCAAATCCAAGCCCTTTTGAGAATCCTTTACCTTAGATTGAATGTGCACAATCCCTGATTCTAATGCAGTGTTATTTGGCTGGACTAGCACTGCATCTCTCATTGGTGATACATAAGTTAGCCTTAGAGTCTTCGTTGATTCCACAGGAGGACCAAAGAAGGAGGAGGAGAACACTTAGAAGGGAACAAGATACTCTTGTCTTCAACATCTCCCTCTGTGTATTCTAAAACTTGAAATAACTGGCATAAAACGAACATTCCACTCAGAGATAGATTTTTGATTTTAATCAATAAATTATTCCTGAGAAGAGGGGAAGAATCCTTGCTGGTTCAAATTAAAAAGAACCCAACAGGGCCAAATTTGTTACAAGAACTAAAACTGGACCTTTGGGAAAGTCTAGTGTCCTTCACCCTAGCAAGTCTTTCTCAAATGGACACTAGGTTATTTACAATCAGTACTTTGTGGGACCTTTGGAACCACCCTTTGCATTCTGTGACTCAGGGCCAATATTTTCTGTTGAAAATATTGATGTTACCTCTTTGTCACCAAAAATATAGAGTCCATTTTTAGTTTCTGCACACTTTTGAGATAACTTTTTCAAGTTCTCTTAGTGCCAAAATTTTCAGATAACTACATAAATGAGGTCTCAAAAATAAAGTGCAAGATCTACATATTAGTCAAGTTATTCCAAAAGAATCATCTACTTTTCAGAAAGGTATCTTTACCATAAAGAAGCTAGTACACTTTTAATTCATAGAACCAATTGTTACTCAGAAAGGTAAACAAAATAAATGAATTAATTTCATTAGAAGTGAACTTAAGTCTTTCTGATCTGGAGTGATAAATTCATTATGCAATAATTATTCTAAAAATGCACAACACAAAAGCTGTTAAATATATACTGACTTTTGAAATGTTTATGTGTGTACAATTTGTACACTTGGAATGTCCAGTTAAAAGAAAGGAAGTACTTTTCCCCACTGGATTCATAGCAAACAAGACTCCCAAACAGGAACACATATAAGACAAACTATCATCACAGCAGATTATTTCTTCTCCCAACTGACACTAACATTCATAAAGACTGGAGAACTTCTAGATCCTGTATTGTACTATAAATGGTCCCCACATTTTCCCCACTAAGTGTGAAGTTAGTCATCTCACGAAAAGGCCCAGATGAGTTGCAATATGTTTAAAGTTAAAAGAGTTTAGAAATAAGGAAGGCCATCTTTCCACTCAACTTTAAAGAATGTTCATTTTAAGACAGCATTAAAAGTACTAAAATACACTGAATGCTGTAAGAATTAATGTAGGGGCTGAAGTTATAGCTCAGTGGTAGAGCATGTGTGAGTGTTGGTTTTGATCCTCATCATGACATATGCGTGTGCACACGTGCACGCATGCACACACACACACACACACACACACAGGAGGAGAAAAAGGTGTTAAAGGTATAGTTGGTAAGCACCAATAGGTCAAGGTTTCAGTACTTTGTGTGTGTGTGTGTACACTAGTATCTCCTTCGGAATACAACTACAATTGAGAATGGGAGGAAAAGCGTTAATGTAGAGGTTTAAAATCTTTCTCTTTCGGGGGAGTCTACCCTTGTGGAGTAATAAAGCGAGAACTATCAGACAGAACATGAGGTTCTGCACTAATCTTCTGAAGGCCAGCATCTGTGCAAAACACTACTGACTTTCCGAGCCAACAGTTTTCCAAAACAGAAAAGATTTTTAAAAATCATGGTGACACCTTTATAGTCCCAGCTGCTTGGGAGGCTGAGGCAGAAGAATCCCTTGAGACCAAAAGTTCAGGGCCAGCTTGGGCAACATAGCAAAACTTTTGTCT